TACAATAACGGACTAATACAATATTTGTCCTTTTGTGACTGACTTATTTCGCTCAGCATAATGTCCTCCAAGTTCATCCACGTTATGCGGTGTTCATATGCAGGCATTTTGATAGAACAATTCATTTTATGTTTATGACAACCCTTTGAGCAAGTAATATTATTATCATTGGCAGCCCTATTTTATTTATTGATTTTTTAAATTTTATTGTGCTTTGTGTGGAAATTTACAGAGCAAGTTTGTTTTACATTCTATAGTTCATGTACATTTGATTTCATGTCCTATTACCATCCTCAACCATAACAAACTCTCCTTCCCTCCTGTCCCTGTGATTACCCCCTCCCTGTGCCCTTCTTAACCATGCACTCCTATCTGTCCAGCTATCCCTCTTTGTGAATGCTGCCCCTCTGGTGCCCCATGGCAGATTCCTCTAGTAAATATCTAGCATTCCTAGAACCTCATATCTGGCCACAATGACTATCCAGTGACAGCCCACTTAGTCAACAATCAGGTACCTGGTATTCTCAGACCTTTGAAATAAAGTCATTTCTACAACAGTCTTAACAGAACATGTATTATATATACTAATTATGAGAACAGCTATCTTCTTATTGCTAGCTCTTATTAAGGATGGGTTATGCATGTTAAGCATTTTACATGCATTATAAAAGGAAGTGTATGCTGAGCCAAAGCTTTCAGACCTTCAATTGCAGTCAGACAATGTGGCTGCAGGCAGAGAAAGAAATCATATGTTGTGAATCTGCAGTGCCTCATTTGCTCCACCTGATGCCATGACTGCTTGAAAAGACCCTAGACTAGGACATGGCTCCTTCACCCATGGTGAACAACTTTTCATGTGTTTACTGGCCGCTTGAGTGTCCTCTTTGGTGAACTGTTTACATTCGTCTATTTTTTTATTTGGGTTGTCTTTTTGTTATTGAGTTGTTGAAGTTTCCTATATATTTTAGAGAGTAGACCCTAATCGAATATGCCGTTTCTGATTTTTTTTTTCCCCAGTCTGTAGGTTGTCCTTTAACTTTTTTGATAAAGTCTTTTGATGGGCATAAATATTTAATTTTTATGAGGTCACAGTTATCTAATTTGTCTTCTGTAGTTCATGAATTGTAGTTGTGTTTGATAATGTATTAAACAAACATTAATTCCCATTGTTTTGTCCCTATGTTTTCTTCCCAGAACTTTATAGTTTTAGCTTTAACAATTAGGTTTTGATATATTTTTAGTTAGTTTTTAATGTATGGTGCCAGATATGGGTCCTATTTCATTTTCCTGCAAGTGGATATGCAGTTTTTCCAGTATCATATATTAAAGAGAGTGTTTCTTCCCCATATAACATTCTTTCACCCCTTGCCCTTTTGTAATTGACTCAGTTCACTTAGCATAATGTCCTCCAGATTCATCCACGTTATAAGATGTTTAGAACAGTCATCATTATTTTATGGAAATCATTTATCCATAGATGGATGAATTTATTTCCAGGTTCAAAAATCTATTCCACTGGTAAATAAGTCTATCATCGATCCAGTACCAGGCTGTTTTGATTGCTCTACCTATATAATAAGTTTTCAGGTTACAAAGTATGAGGCCTCCTACTTTGTTCTTTTTCTTCAATATTGCTCTGGCTATTCAGGACCTCTTCTCTTTCCATATCAAGTTAGTGATTAGTTTTTCTATTTCAGAAAAGAATATTGTTGGAATTTGGATAGGAATTTTACTGTATCCATAGATTACTTTGGGTAGTAAGGACATTTTCACAATACTAGGTCTTCCAACCCATGAGCCCAGAATGTCTTTCCATTTATGTAGGTCTCTTTTGGTCACTTGTATAGTGTTTTATCATTTAAGTCTTCTACTTATGTGGTTAGATTTATTCCTAGGTATTTTATCATTTTTTGGGCTACTGTAAGTGGTACAGTGTTCTTAATTTC